TCGGTGGCAGCAAGACTGACTGAAGGAATATAATCTTTATCTTTATGATTTCTGTGTTTGTCCAAAGTTCCTTCGTCTATATTTAGAACGTTGAAGAGGAAAAGTTTAAGAAGCCTACGAGCAAACCTCAAAAGAGAAAAATTTTGGCTGTTTAGTGGCTCATGAAAGTATTTGAACACCTGTCATAGAAGAACTTTTATGTACAATAAAATATATGTATGTTATGTAAAACATTCAAAAATTTCACTGACTCTATAATTAGAAACGATGGTTAGTGGTGGAATTTGGAAGTCAAATAATAATACAAAATTGCCTAAATTTGTCGGTCAAGAGAAGTAAAAGACACATATTTTAAAAAGATTTCTGTAAAAGAATTAAGAATTATCTTCTACCATAATTATTCTAATTAAGTGTGGTATATAAAATTACCGCTAACACTTCCAATCCATACTGATTCCAATCATTATACTGATATGATTGCATAGAAATTACAAGATATTTATTGCCATCTTGGATACATATAATAAATATCAAATATTGAGATTCATTGATTTAATGGGTTGTATTACTATTAATGCTGTATTAAATTTCCTGTAATTTATATATATTTTAAACTTGATCAATGTAGCACAACACATACGTATGTATGTATAATACAACAATAGTGTTTTTTACATAACACAATATATCCATAAAAGATTCCCACAAGCGTTCAAATACTTTCGTGAACCGGAGTAGAATCAATCAGTCAATCAAAAATCATTCTGTAGTTAGAAAAGAGACACAATACGCCACAAATTATTCCACGCCAATTTAATCAATCTCGAAAATAATTACTAATTGAATTGTACTAAAGACTTAAAAAAAATTAAGTAAATGAAGTGAAAGGGGAGGAAACATGCGAAATATACGCGAGAAATGAATTGTACAAACGGGCTAATCGTATTTCGACAATTGTATTTCACACGAAAGGTGGCACAGCAGAGGTGCGAGTCGACGGCACCGGCAATGGCTGGCAGAGCAGCAACAAAATCGAAAAACAGCAACACTCGGAGGCATACAGCTTCCATGCCGACAATCCTTGCGCGTCCCGTCTCACCCCGGAACCCCCAGCTCTCTCCGTTGCAGGTCCGTTCTCTTCTTTGCCAATTAAGGCGAATCATTCAACGAATTCATCGTCCACGCACTTCATTAGTTCGTTTTGCTTTGGCACGCTTATCATCTGCACTTTGTTTCACGTTTCTCTTCTCTTTTCTTTTCCTTTTTCTTTTTGCAATTTCTCTTTTCGTTCGCCATTTTCGTTTGAGCTTTCGTGTATTCTATTTTGTTAGTTTAATTAATTGCTTGGATTACGTTCCAATTTCACAAGCTTTTTCATGCAACTGCTGGTTCCTTTGCGCAATAATTATCATTTCAAAGAAATTTAGAATTTATTTTAAAATTTTTGATTATGATTACGATTACGAAATGCAAGAATTGGTTTACTTCTAGGTCTAGATCTTACAAAAACATGTGATTCATTCTAAAGGATTTCAGAAGTTTGAAATAATTTACTCTAAAGAGATGTTATTAAATTTCTCGATTTTCTTAGAATACTTAATTTCTTTTTTACTCCAAGTTGTTCATTTTTTTAAATATTTTACACTGGATTAGATCGCTTGGTGATTATTATCACTTCTGTACTGTAGACTAACACGAACCTGCTCTCACGAATCTGTATGTATATATATATATATATATATAGACTATTCTTTCATCTGAGTTTGCCTCGGTGCCTTGATTTCCACTTTCACGCGAGTTTAGAGTTCAGGGTAGCACGGGTGAAAGCGAAATCTACCGAGAGAACAATGAATAAAATAGAGTTCTGTTTGCAGAGCTGATGAGGTCTCCAGCAGTGAGGTGGTCCAGCAGAAGTTGTCGTAGCTTGCCTCCAACGCCCACACCAAATTATCATCACCCGCTCCATCCCCCATTGCCAGCGGTGGGCATGGTCGCCGAGAGGAAGAAACGTTTCGAGCTCTGAATTGCTAATTAACAGCGTATTGCTGCTCCTATTCTTTTGCTGAAAATTCAAGATCGCGTTTATTATTCAACACACCGTCGACAGACCAACTCGACGAAACCAAGAAAAAGGGAAATAGCAATACAAATTAATTTTCACGTACTGTTGCATGCAAGAAAGGCCACAGGATACTCAGGTCCTCTTCAATCTTTGTTTGAAATGAAATAAAAAAAGACAAATGATTGCTTGAAAGCAACAGAAGTAAATCAATTTCAAAACAAGAATAAATTCCAATATTTTGTTTCAGAAATTTACTTTCAAATGATAATTTCAATTGATAATGTATATACATGTGATAGACATTCGAATAATAAATTTAATTTCAAATAAAATTGAAACTAATAATTTATTTTCATCGTCGAAGATGAAGTAATAGAGTAACGAATTTCACTTGAACAATTATATGCCCAACTCTGGCAACTTATGCCGTGTCAATGAAATTATCAAGAATATGGAATTGTTTAATAAGTGCAATAAGTAATAGTAAGTGACTCTTATTCCTAAGGCCTTTCTTTCATTAAACACTACAATTATTATGTTTAAATGGTGCTAGGCCTATTGCTGGTTATAGTCTTCGAGGAAGACCTACATTCGTATTTCCACTTCTGCATTTGTGCACTCATCGAAACATACAGCATTTTTCAGCATTTTCTCCCACTTCTGACTATATCAATAAATTTTTACAATTTGCTGACATCTCGTCACTGCCATAGCAAATAGAGCTTCGACGGTAAAATGGAGCAAATGTTCGCGTCAATTAATAGGATCGCCTGGGGTCGTGCTCGTCGTAACGTAACGATATTGAGCATGTTTATCAGGTAAACATGATTCAATAGCCGAAACGAGGCTCAGATCCCGCGCGAGGCTCGCAAATTCTGCTTTACGGTTGAACGCCTATCGCGAACGATAGGTGCTTTTTCGAAGGGACTGTTTTTTCTTCCCCATTTATATCCAATGGAATTTTTACTACCGTTTACCAGGCCGCCACTCGACGAGGCTAGTCGTTTGATACGCATTTAGACTTTCGATACGTGAAACACTTTTTTCCCCCCCGTAGGACCAAGTAGTAGTCGTTTCGATTTCCGCGAGCGACGTGCGTTTCTGGGGCATTATTTCAGCTATCTGTCGTTTCTCGTCAACGTTATTCGTTACTATTATCGTTACGATTATTAATCAACGAGCAACGTTCTTTTTTTTGTTTTTAAAGATCATTCTATGTCTTTTCCTTTTTTTTTTTTTTTTTCTTTTTTTGTTTGATGCTTCGTTAAGACTCACTCCCATAATGTATACAGATACATTTGCACAAGCAAATTTTACACGTATAACTGCTTGTATAATATAAACAGTTCTTTGAAAAATAGAATTTCGTAGAAATTTATAAATGTTTATGAAACAATGACATGAAGAAGCTATTTCTTTTTGACGAAGTCTATTTTAAAATTCAGTAAGTTCTTCGACAATTAGATCGGAATTATACGGTGAATATTTTGAGAAAGAAATTTTCATTGAGATTATGATACAGTGATCATCTGAAATATATTTTTAGAACATTCTCTAAAAGACGAGAAACGAGGAAGAAAGCGGCAGATGCAATGGAAATACAGTAGAGTATTGACTATTCGAACGAATTAGCAGTAATTAACTTGACATGATATTATTCATACCACGTTCTCGAATACAGGAATCTCTAAACATATCCAAATCAATGAGACCAAATCAAAGTTCGAATAATTAACAATCTACTGTAATGCGAGTCATATATGCAAGTGTCGTGGTAGTTAACGAAATGTAACGCATAAGTGTATCAGTGTGAAAGTGTACTGACAAATAATCCGTGAAGATCGTTGCGTTTGCGTTTTAGTAGGAAGAAAAGAATGAAATGATTTCGTACAATCGTCAGATCTGTTGTTCGTCATCCTGTGACTTTACGTGGGGACTAATTTTAATCGACGATCGGCTCAAAGTTCGTCTTCTAGGGAGGCTTCAATTATTTTCTTTTTCTTTTTCTTCTTTCATTTGTTAACAAGTTGTTCGTGACTATTATTATTATTATTATTATTATAATATTATTATATTATTATATTATTATTATATTATTTTTATTTTGTTTTGTAAAGACGCAAAGCGTTAGTACGTTAAAACGAGGAAAAAAGAATGACGGGATTTCGCCGTGGTAAGAGAAGATAGGAGGTCGCAAGATTTATTCTCTAATTTCTGTCGTTTCTCCCCTTTCTTTTTCTCTCTCTTTTTTTTGCACTGTTTCTCCGTTAATTCTTTGTAGTCGAAAATATCCGTACGCTTGTTTCGCTCTTGTTATGTATAGATTCTGCACATAATTGAATATAATACGGCGTTGTCACATTGCACTGTGTATTACCGCATTCTCTCATTGTGTAAATGTTTTCTGTCGGATCGCGCGATATTATCATTTTTTGATGTTAATACTGTATAGTTTATGATGTTTTTGAATTTAAGAAGCAAGGAAAAAAATATAAATAACTTAGAATTAACCCCTTCCCTATGAAAGTGGATTGTTTATATTATATGTTATTATTATTGTATTCTATATTATATATTGTCGCGGTTCGTTCCAGTGAGGATGCCTCTCGGCACCGCGTGATCGGCGTCGAGAGAAGCGAATTACAACAAAAAGGAAAAAAAAAAGGAAGGAGGAAGAAGAAAATTATCGATAACAATACGATTCATTATCTCTTATGTAGAGTAATTACTCAGGATTGTTTAACATTTATAATATATTATAATTATACTTATTGTATTTGTATTATAATTTATAATAACGTTTGAAATAAAATAAATAGTAACCATCGATCGAGAATATCCGATTAATGAATCTGTTCTCTTCAAGTTATATATACGTTAGATGCTTTGAGATTGGAAACTAGACGAAAACACTATTTGAATTTTACGCAGCAGCGCGCGGGTTCCACGCGCATGCGCATTGGCTCGACAAGCAGTTTGAAAGAAAGTGGCCGCGAGGTAGGACGCTCGTTCCGTTTTCTTCCGCGTAAAATTTCAATTATCTGTGAGAAATGGAGCCTCTGTTTCGGTTAAACGTTGAGAATATCGATATCCTGCTAGTGAACATGAAGGAGAGACTAATGCTGCACGATAAACATTCTCAGGTACGTTTATTTCATTCGAAATTCATATACGGTTATGTCCGATTTGCAGCGTCGTACGAAATTGAGTTGAAACGTATTCATTTAGTTGAAAATTACACATCACCGGGAACTTCAGATTTCTCGGAAATATTTATTCTTTTAATTAGAGCGCCAATAGTTGCTTAATAGAACATGAATGTATTACAATATGGGAGATTTAAACATATTTAATCGATAATATTTCAACGAGGGATATTACAAGAATACGATTGAAATTTTAGAATAAAGGTTTTTGCTATCTTTATTTTCGAAACGGGTGTCACGGAATGCAATGTGTTACGATTATTGTCAAAAATTATCAATGTAAACGTGAGAAAATCGATTAGGAAGAACGAAATTTTTCATAGATTACGTGCATCGAACGAATAACGAACTTATTCAAAAGTGGTGGCGCTGCGAGCAGGGAGGCGGTACTTTCAAAATTGATCAAGTTCGATATACTCTCAACTATATTCGAACTCCTACAAACTCCCACTGATCGTCTGCTTCCGTATGTTTCACAATAAACAATTTAACGCAAAGAGAGTTAATAATTCTTTTCTTGAAAACTTCAACTTCTCATAAATTTCATTAATAGATGTATCCTCGATTTTCTGGATTTGATAATCGTATATCGAAAATTTTACGATAATCACGTAGCCACGGACGCCATGGACGCAATTTTGAAAGTTACAGTTTGCATCGTGAAATCTCGTTGCAAAGAAACCCAAGTGCTAGAAAGATTCATTTCAATTATCCACAATATACTTCAAAGGTGAATTTATTTCCTGTAAAAAAGTTCTCTGTAACAAAATTTAGTGAAAGAATTTATTATTAAAAATTTTACTGTGCAAGGTTTTGTATATTTAATATTGTATATTTATTAATAACTTTTGTTTAATACAAAATTCTGTATATTATTTAAATTCTATGTATATTTTATGCGATAAATCTTCTGCTAAAGATACACAGTAAAATTTTGTGCAGTAAATTTTTCATTAACAAACGTATTATAACAAATTGTTTTACATAATATATATAATAAATATATCAGAGAACGAATTTTATTAAATGAAATTCTATGAAATATTACGTGCAAATGTAATCATTTTTAGAGCGGTAGAATTTCACGTGGATTTCGATGTAGTTTGTGTACCACGACAAGTATTGATCCTCTTAAAATCTTTGATCTTGGAAGATCCTTGGAATCAAAAGATAAAATTCTCTTCCATCATGCTATTGATACTTGTTCTTGAAAATGTCGACGCTGAGGATGAATGGGACGATGACGTGTACGAACTGTCCCATAAAGCTCTCGATTTAATGAAAGAGATTGTCGAGTACAGCGACGACGACAGTTCGGTTTCGGACGCTGCGGATGCATTGTGCGCCGTTTGCGCCTCTGCCACACGGTAAAATTATGTGTTTCCTATAACTGGTCATATAAATTGAAAAAAAAAAGTTTATTGAAGTCGCTAATATTAATTTTGTTTCTTTCATTAAATGAAAAATTCTAATTATTATTACTACAACGAATATAATGAAATCGAAAGTTTGAATACAGTAACGAGTAGAAGAATCTTAATGTATAATTCCATTTTATAATTGGAAGCTTGAAATTATTCACTACGTTATAGTTTATTCTAGTTGTAATAGTAATCTGCAAATTTCTGCCCAATTCTTGAATATTCATTGGTAGTTGAATTTTCTAAACATGGAATAGCAATTTGTTGTACAAATAATTAAATGCTTTAATTTCTTTATTATGAAATTAGAATTTTCACGCGCAACATTTTATAATTGCAAGTTTTATCATTCTCTTGGAGTTGAAGTAAGTTTGACTTTGTTTAGGTTTAAAAGACTTAAATAACTCTCTCTTAAACATAGAACATCAATTCGTTATCCAAATACCTGTCACTATCAATAGAAATAATTTCTCAAGTGGCTTGATCCCAATACTAATGCCATTAGAAATAGTTTCAAGGAAATAAGAGTCATCACAAAATTCGAAACCATAGAATAGAAGATACAAAAAGTTCGTTTCATCCAGATTATGTACCGCGGAAGATGACGGTCGAGAATTAGCCGACAAAATGTCGAAATTCAAAGTAACGATGACAAAGACAATTCGCATTGTAACGATGAACACGTTGGTACCGTACGTTAAAGTAAGTTCGATCGCTCCGATAGCCACATATATTTAATTACACGAGCGTCAAAGGCCCTTTTATTCCCGTCCTGCAGACCATGGAGTCAAATGAATCGGACAGGGTCAAATTCCACAGGAACCTCGTGACTTGTCTGAACAACCTTTACAAGTTGAGCAGTAGTTGCGGTCGCGACAACTTGTCAAACCACTTGACCGCCAACGGATATCTCAAGTACTTCTTGCTGTTAACCACTAGGCTTCCGTAAGTTTCATGAACAACCTGGGATTCGTTTGGTAACGCGATGTCACGTATAATGGTTCACGAATGTATTCCACAATTTACCATAAAGAAACCTTCATACACGTATCTACGTATTGTGGGTGTTGTATTTTGAGATTTTATTCATACGATTGATACGATTATATTGGTGAAATTTGAATCTATATAAAAGTTGAATCTATGTAAAAGTTAGATATAGACATAGTTGTGTGTATATAAAAGTTAGACACAGACATAGATATATAGAAGATATTTATTGTATATATATTTAGTAGAAAACTGGGATACATCATGGATAACTATTTTAAATATACATGCTTTAATAAGTTAAAAATATTGACTGAATATTAATATATTAATGGACTGTGGCTAGTTAAATACTTTTAACAAGTAATAAATATATGATATATGAATAAATAATAATTTAATACTATTTAAGGGTTAAATACCTTGTAATTTCTGATATCAATTTTTAGTATGATAACATTTAGTACATTTTTACTATGATAACATCATAATATATCATTTTTAGACTTGTTTCGAATTTACTGTCAGTGTCAATGAAATTCCAAAATGTTTTATATAATGCACATTTGTATGTGCACATTTCATTTAGCCATATTGTTAGCAAAAAACATTGATATTTTTAGAGAAATCTTAAGACGGAGCACTTGCGTGCTACTATCACGAATCGTAACAACTTTGGCTGAAAAATCGATGCCAATCTGTCGATCTACCAATCAAGAAATAAGCTTTGAAAATTTAATACACCGAGGACTGTTGGATCTTCCGAAAGATAGTGAACAATGGGAAAATGTTATAGTCCATGATGGAGAAAACAGAGCAGTTGCATTAATGACGTTGATTTACTATCACTTCCACGGGACCAAAGAGTATGTAAATCGAAATTAGCTCTTAGCATCTAACACGAAAAGAAATCACTAGTGAAATTTCACTCCAGTATGTGTATTCTTCATTTCACTTTGAAAATCAATCTATTTCCTATTTTACTTTAGAAATCTTCATTCAGAAATTCAGTCAAATTGAACAAATAGAATTGAATATCTTATTATTAGATTGGAAAATTTATAGAGACTTGTAGCTTTTCTCTTATGATATTATGGGTATCAGCTGCAGTCTTCTAATTTCCTGTAAATGCACAAACATTTACAAAATTCTTTGCAGTAATTGCAAATACCTAGACACTGGAATTTTATAAACTTTTATAAACACAATATTGTAGAAATTGAATCTTGTTTTGTCTACTATCTATACTTGTTTAAATGAATATTCTATTTTGAATATTATTGTAATATATATTGTGCATATGTTGCAATTTTATTACACAAATACAGTCTCATAACACTGCTACGACATTAGTGCATGAAATCACAATATGAAAGTACAATTCTTACGGAGTTAAATTTCACCCACGGATAAAACGTACAAGAATCGATTGTGCTTTCTTCTTTATCGCATGCCGCGACGATATTTTGAATAGAAAAATATTGTAGGGCCGACATGATATCTTTGAAATCGCTGATCGCGAGGACTGTCAATCTCCCTAAATCCGAGCGGACGCCGGCGCAAATTTTAAAAGTTTTATGGTTTCTGTTTGCCGTCGCGTCCGTATCGCATCCATCACCGCGGTCGGTACAGGATTACGACAGAGCCGTGAAACGATTGGCAGCTGCGTTGCAATATTCCAACCTGAACGACTGTTACACTCATCACATAGACCTGCTGCATTATTGCTTGAATTGCCGTGAATTCCCAAAGGATCTTCGAAACAGAGCGATGGAGCTATGGTTGATTGAGTCTGACGGAGACATCAAGCCTTTATTGGCTATAGATTGCGGGAAAGTTGTGCAACATTTTCTATTGGTAATCATACACGTTCGCTTTAATGGGCTCGATGGGAGTTTGCGAGGCTGATGCACATGGTGAGATAATCCGATGTAATTTCTTTTGGCAAATAGCTTGTCATACAAACTGGATATTCCGATAAAATAATCAGCCTGGCGATGAAAGGAATTAGAGAGATGATACGGCTGGACAATGCCAGGGAAATTGCAGAGATTGCTTGGCACATGTTGCCTAAACTTCTTTCAACTTATCAACCATTGAAAGGTATTCTTCTCTGAAGCTGTACACGTATCCACGTCAATTATTGAACGATGGATGTTATTTTGTTCACACAAATTTCAAAATTCTTATTGACGATGATGTGTATTGAAGTGACTAAGGATCATTAATCAACACTTTCATCGACGAGAATTTTGAAAAAATTTTGTTTCGAGTGATCGGTGAATTAACAGAGAAATGCAAATTTGAAATTTTAATATTAGAAATTTTAATTAGTAAATCTAGCGATCAACAGTTTTAAAAATTTGCCAATAGATCATCATTACATGTGTCCTGTAATTATTGATCTCTTATGTTGCATTTCGAATTTTTAAGACAATGTCTTGAACGTAACCTCATTAACATCAACGTTTAGGTTTATTAAGCTACCGGACATTGCAACAATTAAGCCTCAAATCGCTCGATTTTGTAATTTTTAACTTATTTTAATTTCATTATCACGAAGAATATATAAAATACAAAACGAAGCTATAAAAATAATTATTACGAATTTTAAAAAAATTTAATTTCCTGTCAATGATCGATCACAGCGAAAAGATGTACGCTCGTCGTGACTTACTTGAATCTTACTGACCACAAAAATATTGAGACAAAGTGCAAATTAATATAATTAAATATCAAACACCGTCACCAGTCGTATCGAGAAAAATGTCTGAAAAGACGGAAATTAAACAATATCTTCGATAGACGAGCAAGTGAAAGCGGTGTTGGAATTAACCAACGTGTCCATTCCGGACTCGTTGTCGTGCAGCATCAGGATTCGGTGCGCGGACAATCTCGTAGCGATCGTTCTACGCCGGGAGGCGGACTTGAAGCTGAGGACACTGGCAATAATGCAATCGTACGCGTTGCTGGTCACGTCCGCGACGATCAAGCCATTCGCAAGTACATATATCAGCGAGACGCTCGCCCACGATAAATACCAAATACGACTTCAAGTGGAGAAAAATAATTCCACGCTCCTTTTTTCCGTCTTCCGACAGTTCTCGAGAGGTATTGCACGACGCCGTGCTTTTTGGAGGAGTTGCTCGTTCAGGGTTTCTCCCTGGAAACGCCGGAACTGTCCGCCGTCTGTTTGAAGCTTCTCGCGTTTATCGTGCACAGCCAGGGACAATCGTCGATTCAGGTGCGAGAACGCCACGTTCGTAAATAATAGATTGCCGCGTTGTCGGCCGTCGATTATACGTCGGACGACGTGTTTTTCCAGCGTGATAAGCCGGTGACGATTGACGTGCAGAGCTTAGCCGATTTGCTGTTAAATACGAGGAGGTCCGTTCACTCGTCGATCAATGGAATGCAACTCGCGCTGGAACTTTTAACTCAAAATATTGACGGATCACCTGTCAGGCTAGACGAGATCCCGGCCGATCGGGCCGAGGGTGTGATCAATCTCTACGAGACCCTTCATATCGTTCACGAAAGAGTTAGTGCTGGTATTTTAATCGAATCCGTTGATTTTCAAGCAACTTGCCTGTTTAATTGACATTACTTGATTGAAAGAACGAACAATAAATTAACAATAATTTTCTTCATAATTGAAGCGCTGCGATTGGAAGATCAATTAAATTAAATTAAAATTACGACACCTTCGTTTTAAAATTAATTTGGAACTTGAGATTTCTCTCTCGGTAATATGAAGCTTGACGTCCAAATATTTGGAAATTAATTTGGAAATGCAAAATCTAAAAATTTCCTGCCAGAAGATAAATTAGTCTGACTGTGTCGCTTGCGCGTTAGTTTTAATAATACGATCGTGTTTCTGTTCACAGAGTGACCCGACGCAAAGAGACGTCGTGTACCAGTGCCTGCAGGCCATCCTCAAATTTTGCCACAGACGCGTGGAGCCGTTGATGTACCACATTTGCACGCTGATGAGCAACTACGATATCGTATCTAACATCCTACAAACGCGCCGGGTAACCTGCCACTTTCTGGATTTCGTTTCAACTTGGCTCCGCTATCGCGAAAGATACCGCGCCGACGAAGGACCGTGGAACGCGCGATCTCTTTGCAAAACACCGTTCGAGGAGGCTCTCGATCAGATCAACAACTACGTCAACGCGGTGAAAGACTCGAGAAGCGACGCGGCGTTCTACAATCTTCTCTACGCGGTGAGTTGACGACCACGATCTTTTCCTTTGCTTATTGTTAGCTAACAGGAGACAACTCGGTGTCTATACTTCTTATTATAGTTATCACGGTACGACAATTAGGTAGGAGGATCTTGCTACGTGAGTGTAACGTGAACAACGGGGAGGCTTTGCTTTAACAGTTTATTCGATCCGTGCAACGTTGCTCGATAACATTGTAACATGTTTAAATTACGTGCGTACAAAAAGTAGAAAAACATCAATTCGTGGGACGAATTTAATTCGTCCGCGTGGTATAACGCGTGCGCTTCAGCGTGATCCTGAAATAGATTTATATTAGTTCGTATCTGTATCTGTTGTATTGTTTGCTAAGTAGCTTGATTGCACTCCGCGTTCTAAATGCCCCAGCTGGATATAGTGTATCTTAAAAATTGTCATTTTTTTTTTCTTCTTCTTCTTCTTCTTCTTTTTCTTCATCTCTGGTGGTTTCTTTCTGCGTTATTCGGTAACTGGTCGGACGCAGTTCGCGCGGTGCGTCTGTCGCTTAGGATTTGCATTCGCCGTGGTAAAAAGTTCGCCCGAGCCGCGCTTGGCCCTCCTCTTTCAGCTTCTTTCGCTCGCTGGCAACGCTTTTTTTTTCGTTATTTTCGCGGTCGGCCGTTGCGCTGCATGAAGCAACCCTTGAAAGAGTTCAATCTCACGTCGATCTCGCCCTCCTCTAGCTGAAATCAGACACGCTCGGGCAGTGCGTACGGATACGGGGTGGGAAATTTGAACGAAACTCGAATCGATGGTTATATACCTGGTCGAACAAGTAGATCTCTTTGTAACAGGACGGTGACACGCATTCGCGAATGCATTTCGTTTTGGCAATGCCGCTCCTTTCTGGCAGTAGCATCTTACAAGCGCCGCTCTCCTCGCAAGCCTGCTCGAATTGCCTGAAGAGAAGTTCCTGCGACCAACGTTTGTATTACAAACACGTGGAAATGAACCCTTGGGGCTCGTCTAATGTTAAAATATATTAGACGTAGAAATTAGCTCTGTGCCTTTGCATTCAAATCGTCACATTTATAGAACACAGTGTAGATACATATATATATATATATATTTTTTTTTTCAATTCCAAGCTAAAAATTTTTCAATGATAATTTAGATATATCTCGACACAAAACTTTCGAAATTATTAAATAAAAGCAAGAAGAATTTATTCTAGCTATCTAACTCGATAATTTCCAAACAGAATAGATAAATAAATAGCAAGGCACAGCGAATTTCTACACGTAACGTCAGCTCGTTGATACCATTATTGGGCTATTTCAAGCGAGGAAATATTCTGATTGACGTAGAGTCGAAGAGTCTCGCGGCACGCGGCGGAAAATATAAGCTGCTCTCGCGCACAATAACCACATAAAATCGCTCGTAACAATTGGTTCGTGCGTTGTTCGAAGATTAACCTCAATTAATACTCGTCTGAGTTCTATTACTCGCGTACGGCTGGCGCGTTTAATTTTCTCTGAAGAGAATTTTCTCTTTCTCTCCGTGGAAGACTATTCACTGATACGAGGCTCGCGCTGTTCTATTATTGCGAAATAAGCGAAAATAAATAAATGAAACTTTAGAGAATTACATTCTGCGTTAAAGATACAAACTCAACCGGAAATCAGGTGTGATTACGATATCAATTTCTCGAGAAACTAGTGATACACATATACATATATACACGTATCATGGAGTGACAGCAGCGAAGTACGCCCCGGAGTACCTTAACTGTCTTCGGGTTAATGCCAAATCGATTTTACCCCCATAGCGAAATCACGAAATCACCCTTGTTACGTCCCCCATGGGGGATCCCCGGATCGACGCGAAGTAATCCTCCTCGAGCATCGCGCGTCACTGCTAAGGATATCACGGAGATCCGTTGTAAAATTCCAACCCTACATAAAACACCCCATTTACATGGTTTTCGTTCGTCCAACAATTCCAACAATTCCGTTTCGACAGTCACAACTAATCAAAAAAAAAAAGAACAAACAAAGAGAAACTAAAAAAAAAAAAGAAAGAACTGGGTAGAACAGCGAACCAACGTTTACAAAACTTCCTCGAGCATACGTAGAATAACACGAGATATTTTCTATTCTTTTTTTTTTTTGTTTTTTTTTCTTTTCTCCGCATCGTAAAAACCACGGCAGCTTCTTCTTCTCGACCCCTCTTCGCCACCCCTCAAAACAACACCTCGCTCGACCATAACCTCGCTCCTCGATGCGTTAGGAGCCGCGTTCCTCGAGCCACGGATTTCTCGGCAAACAGCTGGGACGACTTACATTCTTGGTAGTCTCCTTGTACGGATATTCGGGGAAGGTGAAGGTCTTCGCGAGGGTGCCCGGCCCTTCCTTCAGCTGTCCGACGACGAGGATCAAGCCGATCGCGAACGCCACCCCCGGCGCCATGTTGTGCAGCCGGCCACGATCAATATGATGGGGTGGCGCTCGCTTACGCTGCTCTCCCGACCTTTCTCCTCCACTCTCGTTTGCCCGCCGCGCCTGTAAAAACCCACGCCGCCACGGGACAGACAAGGGAGGATTTCGCGCGATCAACCTGTCGATCCCCTTTGGCCGTTCGCCCCCGTGAAATTGACTTTTTAAGAACCCCGAGCCCACCCGCCGTGGGGACGACCCAGGCCTTTGGCGCGCCGGCCTTTCATCCGGTGCCAACGTCCAACTCTTCTTCCGATTTCATTTGCGGCCGAGGATGATCGACAGGCACGCTGAATCTGATGCCAATCGCGAAACTTTGATTAGACGTTTCTCTTCGTCTTTTTTTTGTTTTTCTTTTTTTTTTTTTTTTCTTGTCGCTAGATCAAGGGGATGTCTGTGGAAGTTTACAAAATTGTCAATTAGGGATTATTGGAAGGTTTGGGTGTAGAATTTTTTATGAAGAAGCGTAAGTCTGGGAGATCCTTTTGTTTTGAATTGAAAACTAGGTTTTATTGGAAGATTTGGCTGTGGGTATTGGTTTTGAATTATTGCAATAGGACAATAGAATTTCTAAGATTGGTTTCTTAAATAAGGAATTGTTGGTCTGGAGTAATCTGTTTCGTTTTGATTATAGACTAGGGGCTAAAGGATTTACAAATTGTAAATTGAAAGTTGTTGAAAAATTATATCGATTGAAATCATATATTAGTTGAAATGTTAATTTTGGAATGTAGTAATGGGGTAGTAGAATATGTCAGATAAAAGGTATGAGTCTAATTGATTTTAAGATTTGATTTGTTGGTGAGATAATTGAATCTACAAGAGATAGAATTTTGTTTTAAATTAAACTTTCCTCTACTATAATTATTATCTCTCTCTGATCTACATATATCACATTATTGATATTTACCCCTTTCATGGTCGATGTTGCATATATGCTACAGTGTACTTGAACAAGTTGTCAACCAACTGAGCCATGAAAATATTTATTTTTAATACCTTTTTTTATAAATTACACTATTCAGAAGTGAATCAAAGAGATATTATTTTTAATATTTCAAATTGGAGCTACATTCTTGTATTCTTTAAGAATTCCAGCTCTTCGAATTAATGAGCTACACAAATCATCCAATTTCAATTCTCACTGTACTAAATATAATCTTCACCGTAGAAAATTCATGTTAAAACCCCTACTTGAACATAATTTCGAGAAATGGGAAATCCATCACTTGTTATATTTCTCAAAAGAATGCAAACCAATTAATTTTTCATGCAGTCTATGAAATTCTTGTAACATTTAATTTACAGTAATATATTTTAAAATAATTCTTGATCCACGCGGCCGGAATTTCGTTATCTTCGTGCTGCAGCCAATAACCAAACTGCAAATATTTATACAAATTCAAACTCTTCTGATCAGGATTAGAGAAGCGAAATCTGAACGCAAATTGAATTCATCCCCTGAATATTTCAACTCTGCATACTTCTGCATATTCCTGAGCAGTTTTGCACGTGAATGCATAAACATCCGCGGTTTGCTAATCACCTTGCAGCTGACGCGATATGAATCTCAAACCTCAACGAAAGAAAAAGAAAGAGAAGACGAAGGAAAACGAGTATATATACGCGGAGAGAGACTCCGTGCTCTCAGGTACGTGATAAACGACGAAGCGAAGACAGATCGCGGAAGTGTCTGTGCACGCGGAGGAAATGCACGCGCAAATTCATCGATAAATCCGCGGGCCGGCGTCGCGGCTCGGCTATTTTGCATAAAACGTAACGGAGTGTGTATGCAGCGAGCCGCGATGGCATTTATCGTCGCGACGCATGCGAGCGAACCAGACGACGGTTTTTGTTCGGTTAGGCGTTGCGCACCACCAGCTCTCCGCGTGCATCGGCCAACATCCCCCGCCCTTCGGTTCGCCATTAAATCGAGATTTCGCCGGTGATTAGCGGCAGTTTGCCTCGCCTCGCTGCGCCCGCCAGTCGATAGATTTTCCCAATAATTTTCCGTCAGTTCGGAGGAATTTCGCTGCGTGCCCGAGGAGCCCGGGCTTTCATCGCCGCTTATATTATAGGCCCCGTTCTTCCCGATTCTGGCCACCGTGGAATTTAAAATGCCATCGTTATTCCGCGATTTTTTTCCCTTTTCTCTGTCTCCCTTTTCTCGGCTGGATTATCATACTTTATTTCCCTCTCAGATGTCGGATAATTTCAGGAGGTAGAAGTTTGGGCTTTCGCGATGGCATTACAATTTGCATTATTATTTGCATTTGCATTACGACTTGCATTATTCACGCAGAGTGACGAGCGAAAGAAAGGCTTGCGAGTATTAATAATCTATTAAATGTTACACTCTCTGCCGTATATTGGCGATGACAATTTACTTCGAAGCGTATTTGTACGTCAAATATAATTTTTGTTCTTTTTTAAACTGATCAGCTACATTCAGTTGAAAAGTAATTTTACGAAATAATTTTGCCGACTGAGCTCATGATAGTTCTTCATTTCTTTCTTGATAATTCAGTATTTATTTTCTCGCTTAATGAGATGAGGAAATTAATTGAAAAATGGATTTAATCAGCATGGTTTATAAGAGAGAGTAATATAGTAAAAGTGCGTATGTAGAATGTCGCTCAACTACACACACTCGCAGCTTTCTGTTTAACGTAATTTAATTCTAATTCTAATCTAATTCCAATCTCACCCAGAATCGAATGTTCTGCGTCTACGTTACGTGCATGTATTCTTAAAATTTCTACGAGTTTCGTTCACGAGGGAGTAAATTACTATTCACGGATTCGAGATCCGAAGGACGGAGATTTAGGGTAACCCTAATGCGAAAGTCTGCGGGTCATTAGACACAGTGGCCGACTTAAATGGCATTTCTCGATTAATTTATATCCCTTGCAAACAACCTGTTACACAATCTGTTAAATTAGAATTAATTACTCGAGGACCGCCATTAATCACGGTGGCGCGAGCTCTCCCACGGGAAGAAGGAAAAATGGCCGTCACGCGACGTGAAATTAAACATCAAACCATCCCAGTTTAGATAGACGATATCCAGAAACGGATGCGAAGCCACGTTCCATTAAACGTGCATTATCGATCAACAAGCTCGTCCGGCTGAATTAAATGTCCAGCGCCGCATCGGCGGCCAGTCGATGGTGATCAAAAAATCCATTGCAAAATCCATTGGAACTCGGATCGTGCCGCGGGGGAGGAAGGAGATGAATTTAGAGCGTTGCAACTCTCCATTTCGCTTCGAATTAAAATTTTCATCCGGCCGTTCGTAGCCAGACGTTCCACCTAATTAAACAGAGGTGATCCTCGGATCGGGGCGAATCGCGCGCGTTCCGCCCGTGAAAAGCGCAAACGAGAAGTTTTCCCGTGTTGCAAACAGAGCGAGAGAGAGAGAGAGAAAGAGAGAGAGGGAAGGGGATCGTTTGAATTGCGGGAACACCGGGTTGAAAAAACCCGAAATCTCGGCGGCTTTTTAATTACATGTTCGTTCCTCTCCGCGTTCCGAACGCGCGGCTGCCAAACCAATGCATGATGCACGATGTATGTACGCAGCGTTTCCGATTAAATCGCGGCTCTACTCGCGAAATTCCGTTGATTTATCGGCGGCTGAGTCGCGGACCAGCAACACGGAGCTACAGTTCAATGGGAATTTCTCTGTAGCCACGCGAATCGTAATGTAGGATCTGTTTCTTTATATGTATATGAGAGTTTTTTTTTTTTCTTTTTCTTTTTATCTTTGCGCACCGAGCGACGAGTTTAAATGATTTGCGTGACAGCGTTAATGTTTCATAGGCCGATAACGTAGATCTAACGTGGTGTAATTCACGGGAGATACGAGTTATCGCGATTGCGACACGACGGTGCGTTGGAAATATTGAATTCTGTGGTTTCTTGGGGTTTCGATCTTGGTGTACGTGGGCGGATATTATGAGTTATTTATTAGGCGAAGGGTATTTTTCTTTCCTTCGTTGTATGAAAAATGAAATACGGACCGTTGACACATGACGCCAGATTTAATATAAAAATATGCAAATACAACGTGTATATATTTTATACGCTAAATATAAAAATTCCTCTGGCATCGTATGTCAACTATCATGTTTCGTTTTGAATTCAACAGAGAAATATATCTCGATCCGTGACTATCTATCTGCACTTACGTGGATCAAAATTTCATATAAAAATATGTAAACATATTGTATGTACAGGGCACTCCAGTTTTTACGTGAAAAGAATGTAGAACAAAATTTTCTCATTTCATACCTCAGTTATTTTCTTACCTGCACTTTATAGTATTTGATGAATAAATATTGAATAAATTTTGTAAGTAAACATGTACCTAAATATAAAATGATTAGCTGATCCTTAGAGGCAATTCTTTCTATTTCTTTAAACATCAACCACTAAAGAAACCAAATCTCAAAACTACGATATATCCATCATTGCAATTCGTCATTTTCCGGCTCATAAAGGCAGTTCATAAATTTTCTAACAAGGCAGGAAATCTTCGGCTATAGTAATATTCATTTTCTCATACTTCCGATGGGAGATTTCTTACACGCTGCACAATGTATTTCAGTTATCGGGAAATATTGCAGTAGAACGTATAGAGAATACGTCTCGACCGTGTCGAACCAATCGGATGCACCGATATAGCAACGTATTTTCTCGCGGATTAAATCGGATGTATTTAGTTTCGCTTCAAAGTATCGTGTTTTTATTTCTATTTTTTCTCTTTTTTTTTTTTTTTTAAACGCGTAATCTATCCCTTAAAATCCGACCCCGAATCCGTTTTCATCCCCCCTCCCGCCGTTTTTCGTTCGACGTGCATATTCGACCTGCAAGCGATATACGCGAATAAACAGCGGAACCATCCATGTTTGTTATTGCGTTTACAGTGTCGACAAAGAGTTAACCGCTCAAAGCCGAAGGTTTAACGATGAACGGTGAATTTACAGCTAACGAATTGCGTAA